AGGGAATCCAGGTGCTGCTCTGGAAGCAAAAATGTGCAGGGCCATGTAAGGTTAGGGGAATGTTCCTTAATGGTGGCCTGAAGGGATGAATGTTATGTTTTATATGATATTAGATAATATGTATATTAATTTTGAAATGAGATTCCACTAAATTCTGAAAATTTACAGAGGAATGCCTTGAGCATAGAAAGGTTGAGAACCATTAGCCTAAGCAAGGGCTATGGAAATGAGAGAAGCTTGGGAAAGACAATGAAGGGAAAGCTTAATGTTGATGAATTTTGAGTTTTCTTGCAATTCTCACGGTGTTTGATGTTGTTCTTTAAGGTCCAGTTGGTATCTCAAATTATTTGCATAAGAATTTCAGCTTTCATTACTTTAATACATTTCTAGACTTGTGGATGAGGCAATATTTTCAATACCAAAAATATGAAAAAATGAGGAAGAGATCAAAGGGAAAGGGAGTAGAAGAGGAGAAAAAGTAGATGTAAGGGAAAGCATAAAAAGAAAAATGAGGAAGTACTGCCAGTGTAGAAGAAAAAAGGAATTATAACTAGATAAGGAAAAAGAGAAGGAAGACAAGCAAGAGACTAGCTCTTACTTTAATTTTATTTCATGAACTTTAGTTCCATACCCTTAAGGGGGGGAAGAAAACCCATGGGTTTTCTGTATACATGCATGATATTTTGAATGACTCGTAAAATATTAATATAACTTGCTTCAACTTGAAAGATGTTTACGCATAATATGCAATATATACAAAGAACTCTAATAAATTGAAGAGAGTTAGGATAAAATATGATTCTCTATTTGAAGGTCTTCCCATTTATTTGATTGAGAACTAGCATTCTCATTAGCTTGAAGTTCCAAGCTATAATATATGTAATAAAAAAGAGTCATTGCCATTGGAGACGCTTATGATTTATTATCCTAATTTTCAGCATTTGGAAAACTTGGCAGGTATTAGAGGAGTGTTACCTCCATAAGATTCACAGGAGAAGTATGTCATTTAATGACATTATGTTTTGCTTCATTTTTCTTGCGGTACAATACATTAATTTGTCATCTTTTTGTCATCAGTTTACACTCTTTGGATATTTTGATGTTTTCTAGAAATTTTTGGGCTGCTGCTTTTTCTCATAAATGCCATTTTGTACAGTGTCATAAAGGTGGTTCTTAAAGCCTTTCTTTTCCTTTTCCTGGAGAACTCTTCTTAGGTGAAAATGATTTATGGCTGTAGACTTTTGCTGAAGAATTAAAAAAAAAAATCATTTTTCCTCTGTCTGTAGTAGACCATCTGTCAAGTTAAGTTGAAAATCACATTCAAGACTGCTTAAGGACTCTCAGAACTTCAGCATTTTCATCAGGCATTAGCATTTTATACCCACATGTCACCTAAGCCTAAAGTCTAAATAAATACCCTTTTTATCGTTAATGTGCAGGGTAATAAACATTTTATCAATTACAAAAATTGAGAATACCTTGTTTTAGTTGGTTCTATTTCTAATATTGAGAAATTTATACTCTGTGGGTGTGCCTCTTTAATGCGAGATGCTTTTCGAAAATATATTAGGTTCAAAATAAATATCTATTCTTCATTATGGAGATGAGGCTTAAGCACAATGCTTTATAAAAGGATTGACCAACCTGTAGCATGAGTGCTAGGGCTGTGCAAAATTTCGCTAAGTGTTTTGTTTCAAAGCTGTTTCAACGTGTTTCAAACATGAACAGCAAAATCAAAACGAAACAAAAAGCATTGAAACAGCTCCGCTAGCCTTATGGAGCTCAGTCCAGTGGCAGGAGGCAGAGCACAGCGCCAGCTCTGTCCGCCTCCCGCTGCTGGGCTGCGCTCCATGGGGCTGGCAGAGCCAATCAGAGTGCAGCGCTGGCTCCGCCCACCTCTTGTTGCTGGGCTGCGTTCTGATCAGCTCTGCTAGCCCCGTAGAGCTCAGCCCGGTGGCGGGAGGTGGAGCGCAGACATGGATGGCTCTGCCCGCCTCTTGCCACTAGGCTGTGCTCCTAGCGGCTCTGCCAGTCCCAAGGAGCTCAGCGCCGGCTCCGCCCACCTCCCACCGCCAGGCTGAGCTTCATGGGGCTAACGAAGCCAATCGGAGCACAACCTGGCGGCAAGAAGTTGGCAGAGATGGGATTGTGCTTTGCCTCCTGCTGCTGGGCTGAGCTCCGTGGAGCCCAGTGCTGGGCACGGGCTGCACCTAGTGCCAGTCTCAGGCAGCAGCGGCAGCCTCCTGTTATCCAACGCAGATCCGGGGGCCTGCATCCCCGGGAGGAATCTAGCACAGCTCCGCAGCCCTCCCAGGGGGCTGTGCCTCTGAGCGAAACATCGAAATGAATGGAA